TTGATTTATCTACCAATTTAGTTTTAACAATATTGACCGTGTTTTTTAGTTATGCTCTGGAAACAAAATGATTACGGACGGACAGATGGACGAGGCATTATATGCTGGGGTGATAAAAAGGAGCAAAGAGACTATACCCCCCACATTATATGCTGGGGTGATAAAAAGGAGCATAAGAGACTTTCATGGTCATGAAACTGCCATAATCTAGACTTGCCACATATTCTAGACTTGCATGGATTTTCTTGAACATATTTGTTTCAGGGTCAGTTTGACAGACTACCAGGTGAGCTAACTCCTCGTATTACTACCAAAGTTTTGTAAGCATTTCATAACTTGTGACCTTGACCTATAACATGACATGCCAAATTCCAAAAGAATTCCTACGGCTTAGATGTTGAAGGTGTTACACTACTTGAAGCAATATTCCATTAATATCAGTGAAGGGGAGGCCAGAAATGGGCTTCACATATTGTACCCTGTGTGGGGAATTGAACCTGGGTCTTCTGCATGAGTGAAAACTTTAACCATAAGGCTACCCCACTGCTCCCATGGTAGGATATTGGGATATCCACAAAACAAAGACAAGTCCTGAAACCAATCCCTTTCCCAGTGACCCAATCCCCAATCTCGTACACCCAGACTACATGACCATTGGATTTAATACATTCCCAAAATGGACAGAGGGCCAGTGGCAGAAACTGATTTACTAAGCTGTTGACAATTTGATTTTGGTTTCTAGTTTAATTGGTCTTCAGCAGCCCATGCTTGTTGTAAGAGGAGGCTATCAGGATCACTGAGGTCAGACTTGCTGATTTGATTGTCACATGTCACCATATCCGAATTGCTAAGATCTATTCTCATGATGTTGATCACTTGATTGTCTTTGACTTTGATTGTCTGGTCCAGAGTCATCAAGTATTTACAGACCGCCACCATATAACTGCAACGTTGCTGAGTGCGGCATTAAACAACGAACATTTCGTACCTCTAATACGACAGTTAGCTAAAGTGGGTGAGTGAGTGAATGAGTATGGCTTTACGCCACTTTTAGCAATATTCCAGCAATATCATGGCGGGGGACACCAATGAGCTTCACACATTGTACCCATGTGAGGAATCGAACCCACGTCTTCGGCGTGACGACCGACGGCTTTAACCACTAAGCTACCCAACCCCCCACAGTTAGCTGAAGGAAACTATAAAGAACATTAAACATTGTTAACCATTGATTGTGCCATGTGCATGCCAATATGCCACCAGCGTCTGATACACATTAACTGACAAATGTCTCACAGTTAATCATTATCAACTCGCAACAAATAATTCAGTAGTCGGCTTTGTCAAAGCAAGGATCAATAAGACATATTCACTGCACCAAGAAATAATCAACCTAAAGTCACTATTAGGTCTGCAATGTCTGCCATTAAGAGCAGCACTAGCAGGACAACACAGACTTCTCTGTGGAACCATGACATCAGTGATGGAATATTCTGTGTGAATATATGACATCAGTAATGTGGTATTCTGTTAGACGGGATGACATCAGTAATGTGGTATTCTGTTAGACGGGATGACATCAGTAACACAGTATTCCACATGACAGCATGACGTCAGTAACACAGTATTCCCCACAACAGCATGACATCAGTAACATAGTTCTCTTCACAACAGTATGACATCATTAACACAGTATTCCCCATGACAGCATGACATCATTAACACAGTATTCCCCATGACAGCATGACATCAGTAATACAGTATTCCCCACGACATGACATCAGTAATACAGTATTCTCCATGACAGCATGACATCAGTAATACAGTATTCCCCACAAAAAACATGACATCAGTAATACAGTATTCCCCAAGACATGACATCAGCAATACAGTATTCCCCACAACATGACATCAGTAATACAGTATTCTCCATGACAGCATGACATCAGTAATACAGTATTCCCCATGACAACATGACATCAGTAACATAGTACTCTTCACAACAGTATATCATTAACACAGTATTCCCCATGACGGCATGACATCAGTAATACAGTATTCCCCATGACAACATGACATCAGTAATACAGTATTCCCCACAACAGTATGACATCAGTAATATAGTATTCCCCACAAAAAACATGACATCAGTAATACAGTATTCCCCACGACATGACATCAGCAATACAGTATTCCCCACAACATGACATCAGTAATACAGTATTCTCTATGACAGCATGACATCAGCAATACAGTATTCCCCATGACAACATGACATTAGTAATACAGTATTCCCCATGACATCAGTAATACAGTATTCCCCACAACATGACATCAGTAATACAGTATTCCCCACAACATGACATCAGTAATACAGTATTCCCCACAACATGACATCAGTAATACAGTATTCCCCACGACATGACATCAGTAATACAGTATTCTCCATGACAGCATGACATCAGTAATACAGTATTCCCCATGACAACATGACATCAGTAATACAGTATTCCCCATGACATCAGTAATACAGTATTCCCCACAACATGACATCAGTAATACAGTATTCCCCACAGCATGACATCAGTAATACAGTATTCCCCACAACATGACATCAGTAATACAGTATTCCCCACGACATGACATCAGCAATACAGTATTCCCCACAACATGACATCAGTAATACAGTATTCTCCATGACAACATGACATTAGTAATACAGTATTCCCCACAACAGCATGACATCAGTAATACAGTATTCCCCATGACAACATGACATCAGTAATACAGTATTCCCCATGACATCAGTAATACAGTATTCCCCATGACAACATGACATCAGTAACACAGTATTCCCCATGACATCAGTAATACAGTATTCCCCATGACATGACATCAGTAATACAGTATTCCCCATGACATCAGTAATACAGTATTCCCCATGACAACATGACATCAGTAATACAGTATTCCCCACAACAGCATGACATCAGTAATACAGTATTCCCCACAACAGCATGACATCAGTAATACAGTATTCCCCATGACATCAGTAATACAGTATTCCCCATGACAACATGACATCAGTAATACAGTATTCCCCACAACAGCATGACATCAGTAATACAGTATTCCCCATGACATCAGTAATACAGTATTCCCCACAACAGCATGACATCAGTAATACAGTATTCCCCACAACACCATGACATCAGTAATACAGTATTCTCCATGACAACATGACATCAGTAATACAGTATTCCCCATGACATCAGTAATACAGTATTCCCCACAACAGCATTACATCAGTAATACAGTATTCCCCACAACAACATGACATCAGTAATACAGTATTCCCCATGACAGCATGACATCAGTAATACAGTATTCTGTGTGAAAATAACATGAACTATTAGGTACACAACTTTGACACATAAATATGTATTAAAAAGGGTATCCATACCTTCTATTTATCATCACTTGTGATTTGGTAAAACTTATTTCATAAACAGAAGGCAGTTTATATACAACCATAAACCAGATTATATTCCTCACAACATATAAATACATATATCTCCCTCCCACTAAAGACACATTCTTCTTCTCCATGCTATACACATTCAGGACCAGACACACACATCAAAGATAAATCAATTTCCATAAGCACAATACACCAGACCATTTCATTACCCTGTTTTAAAAGCAATATTTCCTATTGCAAAACAAATTCTATAACAGTATTTCATGATCGAGATGTCTCTAAGCAAGCACAGTTTAATTACCATTTATCCATGATGTGGTGAAGTTGTGACACAAACACATTGCATACTTTAGTTGAAAACAACTAGACTAGAGGGATTAACTTGTCAAATCAGATATTTATGATGTGAGCAAATAGCTTTTGATAATCTATTTGTGATTTGACAGTTCTATTGTGTAAGGGTCCTGGTTTCAGTATCTCAGAAAGCCATATAGAAATCAGGACCTTTTACATGCATCAATAAGCCAATAACCTGGCACTTCGTGGTGTACATTATGGGTTGGGTTTAAATTGCAGACCGTCTAGCTTCTCGACTTATACGTTAAGATTATATGTGGATAACAGGAAAATAGCTGTATTCATGCAATGTAATTTTAGTGGTGAAAATAGATAGTAGAAGAATGGCAGTAAATATGGCCATTAGTGGAAAACACTTTTGAAAATACATGTGCAGATATCATACACTGTGTTGGCAATTCAACAATTTAGGTTACAATATATCATTATTTGACTTCATAGTTAGCATCATTAGCACCTATTTTTGACTGTATCTGTTACAATACCTGTTGAATTGTACACAGTATCCTAAACTATGGTAAAGGTGGAGGTGTGACAACTTGTTTGTATGAAATAAGACTGGTGAATCCTTGTCACCAACTGATATCTAAAAGTTACTGAAGGCAATGTAAACTAAATTTATTTACTGAGTTTGAATACAAAGAATCATTATCTAACGTTTTTGTTTTTTTCAATTAATTAATTCTGGGCTTAAACGTCAAACCCAAATATCTTTTCCAAAATATAATATACTGTTTGAAAACAAAATCGTAACACTTTTCTTTTTGCCTATAAAATATATAAGACATGTGTCATATATGTAAATATTAATAATAAAAAAGATATATACATTTGTATGAACAAATTCAATGCAATTGATTCCAAAAGTATGTTTCACTTTTATAATTATTCTCAAAGTATATTTCACTGTTGCTTCAAGTACATATACAGATATATATGAATAAACTAGGCTGTTAAAATTTTATAAATGCACTATAAAAATAAAACAATTCCAAATAGAATACAGTTAGTAAATTTTAAACCATATTGACATGTTTATATTCTGGCATATAGTCAGCAACAACAAAAATATTTTTTGAAGTTATAAGAGAAAAAAAATGTTCATCAAAATACACAATAAATATCCATACATGTACTTATATATATGTTGCATATTTCTTACCTCATCGTGGTCCCAGTGTTCAAGCCATATCGCTACCTTATCCAGCTGTCTGTCAAACTCAACACTGCTTGGGGTGGGGTGAACACCCCCGTGCCCCCTCCAAGTCACAGCCCCTCCCATCTCCCGACCCCCTTGGCCCTCAAGCACTCCAATCTTTGGAAATGAGTTGCGCATCTTCTCCACTTTGTTCATTTTAAACAGTTACAAGACTTGTCAAACTTGCGGTAGTCCCATTATGTCAATCATTCAATAGAGTAAGCCGTGCTACTCTACTTACACATGTGCGGGCACTTTGTACACACCAGCTTGGCAACAACCTGCAGCTAGGACGTGACGTCACATTTTCTAAAAATAGAACACACACGTGTGTTTATTTGTCGTTAAGAATGGCAACAGAATTTGTTTCATGCAAAACACACATATTGAAGCCTTACCTTTCACAATATAGATTATGTTATTTTGTTTGTTTCGCAGGGTTTAGATACGCGTTTTCAACTTATTTCTATTTGTTTACGACAACCACAAGCAGGAATATTTTCCCAAAATGGCTGTGCTGGTGTTGGACAACGGCGCGGGAACTGCAAAAGTTGGCTATGCTACCGACAAAGAACCGAGGTAAGGACATATTTAATGTATAGAGTGAGAGCATAGTCTGGGAGAAATGTTAGATAGCTTATATTGTGTTCAACGATCACGGTTAAATTCCAGGATAGCACATGTACAAGGCTATTTAAAGTCTGTCTTGATGACGATGTATGACAGATTTCTTTGGGAACTGAACGCAGCCAGTAATCAGTGCTAATCACTACTGAGATTTGTATCCAAACCTTTTTGCGGGACTCGTACTGAGGGACCGTTCATAATTTATGGCTGGGGGATGTGTGTGTGTGTGTGCTGATGGGGTGGTGGTGGTGTAGATGTTCATTTTCATCACCCCACCCCTACCTCATTTTTGAGTTTGTGCATTTAAATTTTGGAGTTCTGTCATAATGTATTAATGTGTAGTGATCAAATATGAGTGGTCACTCAATTTACTTACTTCATTTTCATTTCAGGATAATTCCAAATTGTGTAACTAAAGCAAAAAATGTGAGGACAAGAATTTTTATTGGTGATCAGATAGATGAATGCAAAGACCTGTCAGGGTTGTACTACATGCTGCCATTTCAGAAGGTGAGGACATTTCTTTGTACTTTTTGCCATGTCTTACTTTTTTCACCTTCTACTGCTCATGTTGACATGACATCCAACCTGAAATGAGTTCAATCAAATTACATCACAGGTCTCAGAAATTCAGTGGTTGCTATATTAACATACCCATGTCAAGCATGGTTATGGGTGAAATAATAACTGCCAAGCAAGTAGTTCGCTGTGATAACATTCTTATTCTAGTTGTAATATTATTAACTGCAATGTGCAGATATTATAATAAAATAAAAAAGTGAATGGTTTTGTATTTATTTATTGAAGATGTTTTCAATAAAAACATTGAGGTAGAGGCATTGGGTTTTCAACCCTGATCTGCCAAGGGAAAAGTTCTTCTGGAGGTGCGATACCGGGAATAAGGTGAGGCGAAGCCGAGCCTTGTTCCCAGTATGGAACCGAGAGTTGGTCAGATAACACACACGCACACGTTCATGTGCAACTCAGCACAGCCAGGTGAGATGACCCCAGCTAGTCAGGCACTGTTCCATCAGCCATTTGTCATCCCCCAGTGTGAAGCGTGAAAATAGCACAATACTACATGATGGTTTCTTACTAAACAACTTTTTTCGTGAGCAATAACAAAACGTCAGATTTCTGAATTCAGATCCTGTTGGGTACAGAGGTTTCAGGACCATGTGTCTTACTTATGTTTTCTGCACTTTTCCCAATTTCGAGTTATTTAATCATTTGTCGTTCTCATTTGAATCCAAACGGACTATAAGTGTGCTAAATACGTTCCTTCACCAGAATTTTGATAAACTATGATAAACTATAGCGTTACAACAGGTCAAACGCTTTGTGCACCACGGCCTCCAACCTAGATTATTAATAAACCAGCCTGATGAGGGTATAACTATAATGTAGCAAGTGTGACGAGCCAACACTTTCGACACAAGGCTACCTCACTGTTGTTGCTGTAAAACAAGTCTGTAGAGATCATATTCCCTCTGAGAGTTGTTACTTGCACTTGATTCCTCCTCCAGGGCTTCCTGACCAATTGGGACATCGAGAGGCAAGTTTGGGACTACATATTAGGAAAAGATGTCTTCCAGGTACATTGGAATCAGATATCCTGACATTCTCTTTTAAATCACAAGGGAGACAACTCCAACTCCAGTGTTTTTGCTGTACACAAATAGCACTAGGACATTTTCATTTATCAACTTTTGCTGGAACATTCTATATATCATTACCATATTTGGAGGAAACACTTTGGGATACTTTGATTCACATTCAGTCAATGCCACTGAAAGGGAGCCAATCTAAGACTCTCATACAGTTCAATAAACTATTTATATGAAATGTAAAGCTAAATTAGTTTTCTATTGGGGACACGGCCCGCACCCCATAGATGTATGTTTTACCTGGATCTCATGAGTAACCATGGTAATGCTGTAGAATATAACAATTTTCGAAAGTTTTAGCACATGCGACTTATACTTAGGCAGTATCAATTGATCAAAACTGTTTGTTTTTTGCTGGTGGCATCTTTATCTTTTTATATTGTATATTTATTGACTTTTTATTGCAAGTTGCCATAAGGCCAGACCAATTTTATTTCCCGTTTTACAGATTTTTGTCCTCAAAACACCTAAAGGCAGGAGGGGAAAAGTGAAAATAAAATCACCAGTCAAAGTAATATTCCTTCTAAATACTTAAAGTTTAAGTATTTTACTATTGGCAATTTATGAAGTATATATGGGGCAAAAAACAATCTAAAAAAATTTCTTGTAAGTGTACAATTTTGGTCAATAAAAACATTAGGATTTTATTTTTTGAGCGGGGAAAATTAATTAATTTAATTTGTTCTTATTCTTGAAAAAATACGACATGCGGATCCGTAAAACAAGAAATAAAATTGGTCTGGCCTAAATAATTTAATAAATTAGGACATATAGTGACTAATATATGATTTGGGGATTTGTTAAACATTGTCGTTCTCATTAATTGTTTTGCAGGTTAATTCAAATGAATGCACAGCCATTGTCACGGAGCCATGTTTCAACTTTGCCTCAGCTCAAGAAGCAATGAATGAAGTCTTCTTTGAAGAATACCAGTTCAATGCCCTTTACAGATGCAATGGTTAAAAACATATATATTACTGTAGATGTGTTACTGGTGAACATAATGTTTGTAAATTTGTAGATGGGATTGAACATGCAATACATGACATTCCCAGTGTTATCATTTTGTGTAGTGTCCCAACTGGCTCTGCAGAGTTGTGTCCCTTAGCTGTTGATATTCTGCTCGTAACTGCCTTTGGGGCTGCACTTTCCATTCATCTTGATCATCCTTGATGCACCATACCCTCGCTCATGGGGGGCAGTGGGGTAGCCTTCAGTGTTCGAAATTAACGTCGGTCCTTAGGCCCGAAGCCTACTGAAGACCACTCGGACCCACAGCTTTTGTTTTCTTATGGAGGTCCTTATGGCCAACAGCTTTTTCATCCCCAATAACTAAGAGTATTATTTCCATATTAAAATACAGGGCCTACACATTCTGATCAGGACCCACACCTTTTTAGGGTTCTAGGTGCCTAGAGCCTGCAGCTTTTCCAGGTTAAAGGTGAACACTGGTAGCAATGTTGTTAAATGCATTCGCTCGTCACGCCGAAGACCCGGGTTCGATTCAGGAAGCCCATTTCTGGTGTCCCCGTCATGATATTGCTGGAATATTGCTAAAAGCATAATAAAACCAAACTCACTCACTTACTCATGGGTTTTACCAACTACATAAACATCTTTGGTCTGTCTCATTGTAGACTATTTCTGTTTACAGCATACAAGAAGACATACTTTGTAGTCTATGTTGTAGTGTTGGGAATTGGTTAAAATCTCATAATTGATGATTGGTCCATTACAACCGATCAATCATAGAAAATAATTGGTTAGCGTCATTTATCAAATGTTCCTGTTGTCTTTGTAAAAAATAAAGAAAAAACATGTTGTAATTTGGTATTTTTTGCAAATTAAACAAAATCCATTTGCAAATTTTGCATATTTAAAGGATTATTAGTATGTTAGGAACACAGATTTCCTGGATTCTTTAAGATAAATTCATTCATGATTTGGAACGAGCTTGTTGTGCTTATGAAATATAAATTTAATGACACAGACAAAAGCAACCTTGTGAAAATATTGTTGATGCAAACAAGTGTTCAAGATTGGTTGCGTTCGATTATGAGAAAACATGTTCGATTGCTTGGTCGTTTAGTCACTGCGACCAATCTTCGATTATGTCAATTAATCGGACCACCACTACTATGTTGTTGAACCTTTTGTACAGCTGTTGTTCCTATTCACAGCGTCATGTCTGAGTCAGTACAAGAGTCACAAGGAGGAGTCGGAGAAGAATCTTTGTACATTGGTAGTTGACACCGGCTACTCCTACACACACATTGTGCCCTACTTTAAGGGCAAGAAAATCAAAGAAGCCATCAGGAGGTAAGCAATGAAGTATTTATTCATATTGCAGTTACTGGCAGTTTGACACTAGGGCCACCTTCTGGTAACCATGGTTACATGCTTTTACAGTATATTGTTACGGTATTATCAGCATTGCAATACTTGGATTTGTCCATATTAACATGTGTAATATAATATGATATAATAAGAAACAGTAAATATTTTAAGTATTGTGCACAAGTGGAAAACCACCTCCACTGAAGAATTGGGGAATACATTCAAATAAAACAACAGAGGGGGTATTTTGAGCTGATGTTATGATAGGGTCATATATGAGACCTTGTTGACAACACAGTACAATATGGTGTTGTAGATAATGTTGATGTCTCATGTAAGACTTGGATATATCTTTCTTAATAAAGTAATCATTGTCTGTTGTCGACTGGTACATTTAATTTTGTACATATCATAATTACTGTATTATGATTTTCTTGATATATTCATCACAATTTTGGTTGTTTTTTGTTTCAGAGTAAATGTTGGAGGGAAATTGTTAACAAACCATTTAAAAGAAATAATATC